CTAGTGACATCTCCTAGGCTTGAACGCGCATTCGCATGAGCCCTGTTACCAGATGAGCTTCTCGAGAGGCCCCATTTCACAAGTGTTATTGAGCTCATTTCCATCCATCTTCTAACAGTTTCTTCCGCTTCAGTATTGTAGGGGAACCAGAGCCTATCCCAGCAAGTAATGGGCACAAAGCAGGGTACACCCCTGAACAGGATGCTGGTCCATCATAGGGCACACAGACACAAACATAAGATCACTTTATTGGCCATATACAATTTCTTGTATTAAGAATTTGTCTTTTTGCATACCCCATCTTGCTCTCCATGAGACACACAGACAGGGAGAGAAGCTTCAGGTCAGAGCGCAGGGTCAGCCATTTATACGGCGCCCCTGGAGCAGGTGGGGTTAAGGGCCTTGCTCAGGGGCCCAACAGAGCAGAATTCCTATGCCAGCCACGGGAACCGGCAACCTTCCAGCCACAGGTGTAGAACCTTAGCCATAGAGCCACCGGACCACCCCACGCACACTCACACCAGGACAGGTTTTGCCAGAACCCCATTTACTAACCAGTACATTTTTGGATTGTGGAAGGAAACCAGAGCAGCAGGAGGAAACCCAGACAAACACAGGGAGAACTTAACACAGGTAGCACCCCAGGCCCCAGCACTGCGAGGCAGCAATGCTAACCAAAACACCCCTGTGCCGCCCTCATTTCCACCCACGACCACAAAACAATGAAAACCGTAACCTGTCCAATTCATTAAAGTGGTCTGATTACATTCTTTAGATTATCTTTCTGTCATGCTTTGGATTAATAAGCAGTTCATTTGTCCACCATATGAAGTTTCACCCTTATAATCATCCATTAATATTCGGCTACATTAGATGCAGTCACAATTGAAGGTATTTATTTGCATTTTAGACAAAATATTTAATACAAATATTTCAGGTACTGTATCTGTTTTTTTTTTTTAAATAATAGGTGCCAAGGTTTGCAGTCAGAGTGGTAATGAATTCTGTGGGGAAAAAATGGAATTAAAGTCCAATGAGCTGCCATTAGAGAAAGGCTGGGAGAGAAGAGTAGAGGGTGGGCATTTAATTACTTAAGTGTCAGCCCCCTCCGCAGGTGAGAGAGTGGCTGTGTGTTTCTCAGCTCGGCGTCTGGCAGTGCTGGGACATCAATCACCCCAAAGGGGGACGAGTCTCAGATACTGGGTCTGCTGCATTCTACTGTAGGTTTCAGGGCTAAGTTCTCTACATGTTCAGTGGGGGATAAATGCAGCATTCTTTATCTTGGGTGACAAAATATCCCTGGATAAGAGGATGTATTTAATTACAAAATAACTGCCCTGTTTTTTTTAAGTATGGGAGTGATCAGTTGCCAAGGGGCCTGGTATACACAGTAAAGTAATTGACTAGGACCAGTTTTTCCAAATAATAATGAATGTAGTCAGCTTGCCTGCGATTGCTCAACCCTGCCAGAGAGTTCTTAAAGACATTCGTATTCCACAATGTGCCATAAAAATATGATTTTTGACAGGAGTGAGCCATTTCTAACACAAGCCTGCTTTCAAAAACCAGTGGTAAATTAAGTGGTGCGGTGAAAAAATTGATTCTTTGTTTTCAATACCAACCGGTTGTATATTGCTTTCCACAGAATAAAAATTTACACATATTATACTTGGTATAAAATCCCTTCTAACTTTGCTTAGGAAGTGTTTTGTATTTTGGTCATGCATTTCTGTGAAATACAGCTAACCAATTACCCAACTGTGAACTGTGTTCCTGCATTTTATTTATTTTTTTGTATTATGTTCCGCATTTAGTTTTTTCTGTGAAATGAAAGCCCGTTTTGTGACGTACTTGTATAAAGCACTTCTGTAATGTTATCTCTTATACTTAATACTCAGGACCTAGCTCAGACTCTCAGAAGACAAACTTCCCGATCAAAGGCCTCTTCCTTTAAGTAGTAAGATATGAACTTTTAAGGTCACATTGTTAAATTTGTGCATAAAATGCACTGTGACCAAAAATCTTTGGGTGCTTTTTTCCCCATTCCCCATTTTTTCAAATTCTTCTAGCTTTTGCTTGAACGAGTGTGTGTAGAATGTGTCTTAGGCCTCTTAGAAGTATATGAATGCATTTCCTGCAGGGAATTTTGATTTATGACATTAATTAAAAAGAACAATTAAGACAATTTCCTCTGCCCAGAGCTACTCATATTTTAATCAGTAGGTCTGGCATTTTGTCTTGTGACACACTTGCAGTTTCACTTATTACAGCAGTTTGGCTGAAGCTGGACATCTCTGGGGAAACATGGACCTTAAAGTCTGAATTGAAAGAGAAAAATTCATTCAAAGGGCTTCCATTATGGTGTGACACAAAAACCCAATTCCCCTCTGCATCATTAGGCCTTAAAACACAGAGAACCAGAATAGAAAGTAGTTTTCCTCTTTCCTGTTCATTTTCCTTCTATAAAACTAATTCCTTGGTGTCAGTTTCCTGCTTCATTTTGTAGTGCACCTTCAGGGATTCTACTGTTTCAGACACTCAGATCATTTCTCCTTCAGTCTCTACCGCCTGGGACTCTCTGCCTGATCAGGGATATCTGTTGATATTGTGCATAAACAACCACGTCAAAACTCCTTCCCATCTTCAAATTAACCATCAGTAAAGAAAATAGTTCGTACAAAAGTCCCTGCTGTCTTTTGTTCCTTAATATAAATTATTATACCTCAGGAAGAAGTAGTAGTAGTAAAAATCATTTTATCAACCGGTGGTTTTTACTTTGCTGTCCAGCAAACATTTTTTTTTCCCATCTTAACTTGCAGCCTTATCAGTTTTTACTTGTTGTGAGAGATGGAAAAGAGGTGATCAAGTGGTGTGGCACTGACCTGAGTCACCCTGTGTACCCGCTGTGCTCTGGTGGGTCCCTCATATTCATTCTGTATCTCAGATGTGTGATTTGCACATAGTAGAGCAATAAGGTATCATTCTGTTTAGATTGCAGTCATTATAGGTGAACTTTCTATTCCTCCACAAGATTGCATGATTAAATTGGCACAATGCACATTATGGGAGATGAGGTTCCTGCCTGTACTGCCGTTGATGTTGCTTGAGCGCCCGCAAAATCATACAATTTTGGTCACCATGTTATAGAAAAGATATACGGTAGCTGCTCTGGAAGTTCTGCTCTCTTTCCAGAGAAGAGTAACTCTTCAGGGGTTTTAAGGGAATGTCCTGCACTGACAGGCTGTAGGAACCAGACCCTTGAGTCTTGAACAGAGAGTACTATGAGGGAAACTGATAGTACACTGAAGTTTACAAAGTCAGCCTAGCAGGTTTCTTCAGAAAGGGCAGTTAAACATGAACCAGAGAACACCACTGGAAACTTTGGGGACGTGCATTTAAAACCAAGAAAAAGTAGCACTTCTTTACCTAAAGTGTGCTGGGAGTGAGGAACAAACAGCCCAGCCATGTTGTTGAAGCCAATACACTGTCTCCTTTAAAGACTGGATGTAGGCCTTAGATTTATTCATTGCTGACTACAAAATGGGCTAGGTGGTCCAAAAAGTCTCTCTTTTGTAACCTGTCTGATGTTCTCATGACGTTCTTCACCAAATAATCATCACTATTTAATGCAGCAACATTTAACCTTATTTCTCTTTTAACAATGTAAAAAAGTTTATGCTGTTTTCCTTTACTTTGTTTTTAGTCTTTTCTGTATGACCCTCTCTGTTGGTTTCTTTCAGCATCTGTCTGTACAGTATGAAGGTTATTAAAATAGAGGGTGCAACATTCCTGAAGATGAGATACTGTGGCTTTTTCAGCACCCTGTATATACTGTGTTTGTTAGACATAGTATACAGAATATGATTTTCCCTTTTACCAATAAGGAAAAAGGATAGACTCTGTATTTCTACATGCTTTAAATTATTCTGCACCTTATATTTCTCACATATGTATATACCAAAACACAGGTCATAATACAGCTCATCTTTTTACAGTAGATGCATTTCTAGAAAAATACTCCTGCACTGCCCCAGCTTGGTCCAGAATGACTGCAGGCTTGATATCCATTTTTTAATGTCTCTGAAGCATGTAGGAACATTTGGAGTACAGTGTGTGCATTCATCAGCACACCCGCTGAAGTACAGAGTGTCACTGCTGCCTCTGGTGCTGTATGTGTACTCTAGGTGAAAATAACACAGAACTGTGAGCTGCCTAGGCTAAGGCAAGCCTTGATGAGAAGGCTTAAACTAAAAAGGTTATGTAAGGAAAGTGTATTTACTGTAGGCACACAGCACTAAGTTCAGAGTTATCCTAGGTTTTATTGTCTGTTATAATGATGTCTGTATAATTTGATGTTACTGTAAGGGAGCAAAAATGAGTTATGTCCTAATGTAGTACAGTGTGTTTTATATTTTGCAAGTGAAAAAACAGTCTTGCAGGCAAAAGTTACTTTTAAACATTCTCAAGCTTGTAAAGCTAAAATGTACAACATTTAATTTAACTGCCAGCATCTGCCTGTTTTCAGGCTTTTTTGGTTTATCGCCTCTCTTATACAGAAATGTTGTCTCTGTGTTTGCAATGTCATCTGTCAAAGTGTTTTACTTCAAATTCAGCCAGAAGAAAAAAAGGTAGTTATGAGGCAGCGAATGTGTGGCAGTGCAGTGTCAAGGGGTGTTTGTCTCTGTGACGGATGAAGTCAAGTGACGTTGTGCGTCTGTGTGGCCATGTTGCAGGAAGACAGTGGTGTGCCCCATAATCGACGTCATCAGCGACGACACCTTCGAGTATATGGCAGGATCGGACATGACGTATGGGGGGTTCAACTGGAAGCTGAATTTCCGCTGGTACCCCGTGCCCCAGAGGGAGATGGACCGCAGGAAAGGAGACAGGACTCTGCCCGTCAGGTAACCATGACAACTCCAGGGCTCTTTCAGTCCCTCCCATGGGGCTGCGGTGTAAGTCAGGAGGGTGATGTGTACCAGCAGCTAAGTTATGGCTGAGCCTCAGAAAGTCAGTGCAAAGTCATGACACCGAGACAGAGGATGCGGTATAGCAAGTGAGATGGAGCTGAGGGACTGCAGTGAAGGACAAGGTCTAGTGTTCGGTAGCTGCCTCTTGTTTTCCCCCTCTGCAGTCAGACATGTGCATCTCCAGACTTGCTTTTTAGTAAAGGGGGTGAAATAGCGTAAGAACAGCAAAGCCTCAGCACTAGACAGGCAGCTTATGTTCTGCAAAATCTGAATTACTGTTTTTTATGTGACTCAGATTGCAGTGCCTTTACTCGGGGGGAAAAAAAGCCTTTTTTCTGTGAGATGTGTAATACTATAATGCTTTCGGATGCTTGCATTTTGTGTGTCAGTCTCTATTAAAGCAAAATTGGAGGTGATGCCTGCCTCCCTCCAGGGTTCCTTTTAAAACAAAATAAATCTGTTGTTCTTTTGTCATTCCCCAGGAACACCTATCTGGTGATTAATATGAACCTCAATTTGGCTTGCAGAAAGCTCCCATCATTTTAAAATGTCTGCTTTTCTGTCAGAGCTAGTCTTAAGCGCTCTGCCCCTTTTTATAAACATCTGCGTAAAGTGCTTCTCACCTAAATGCTGGGATATTATTGCAGTGGCACTGTATGTTTTCAGGATGGTCCTTTTCCTTCAGGATTCTTTTGAAGTCCCATTTTAATTTGTTTTAAACCTCTGAATTACACAGCTTAAAGCTATGTGCATCCTTGCTGCTTGAATATGGAGCATTTGGATATTGAAATCAGAGTTTGCATTGAGATTTTAAACAAAACAGTACTAACCAAATAGAACATATTGAACATACGGTATGCCGTTGCTATCCAAAAACTGAACTGCGTAACGCTTGCTTTTTGTGTGATAAACGTGTTTCCCCCTCAGTGTTTCAAACAGATTGCATGTCTTATTTCCAGATCAGTCTGACTATGGAATTGTGAGTGCTGTGTAATGGGATATTTCAGTTCCTTTCTAAGCCTGTGAGGCTAATAGACCTGGAATTTCTCCCAGATAGCATTAAGCAGACAGCCATTACAAAGCTTCCTTAGAATGGGATACTGGTATACTACTTGTTAGCTCTCCTCAGATACTCATTTACTGTATTTAGCTTAGTGAACTGGAGCAGCAGCAGTTCCTAACCTTTTAGAACATGATGACCTTGATGTGTGGATTTCTCCCGCAGACACCGCTTATGTATGAACACAGTGCTGTATATAAATAAAAAATAATGGGTTCATGTAACTTACCCCACTTTTTATATTTAGGCATTTAAATGGAACAATTGGCACCTGTATACAAAGCAATTTACATTTGCTCTCGTTTCTACAGCTGGGTGTTTTACTGGAACAGTCTGGGTGAAACACATTGCTCAAGGATATACTGTAGCAGCAGTGGCTCTTAGGATTTGAACCTCCCAAGAGTCCAGAACCCAAACCACTGCTCCACACTATTGGGACTACAGAGTGCTGTGTGCCATTTTGCACAACAGCAAATGAAAGCATTTTTGAAAATGAAGGTCATTCATCAACTAATTGTTTTTTGTGATCTGTATTTGTTTAATTTGTTCGTTTTTTAATGCTGTTTTACACTTTGGTATTTTTTCACCGTACAGACCAAACCATAAGGCTCATATTATATTAAGCTCCTAATTCACAGCTGACACTTGTACAAAGCAATGTTGTTCTCATTTTGAATCATTCTGTCTGAGAGTGTTTATCCAGGGACTGTAAGTGAAAGAAATAAGAAAAGGAAGGTTAAACTCTATACACTGACATTGACAGCAAATGTTTATGCAGATTTGTGATTGAATAATATACTAATTGTAGAAAAAACATGATATGATGTATTTGGCAAACAACAAGAGCAGAGTTATTGCTATTGATGTCAAACCAGAGATCTCTCCTCATTTCACCTTCCATGCACAGACACTGCCGCTTTTGTATACCTTTTTAAAAATAGTTACAGCAGCAGAAGAAATAACATTTTCTGTACAGAGACGCATATTCTGAGCAGGAACGCCAGTGGCAAACTGCCTTGAAATTTGTTGGTGATTGGGAGGTACTATGTTTTGATTCTGTATTCTGAAACAATGAGTGTGACTGTTTTTGGCCCTGTAATTTGTATAGCTTTGGGTTATTCTGTTGCAATTAAAAAGAACCCAGATTTCATATTTATTCAACACATTTCTAGATTGGACTGGTGTAATCAGACTATTGAAATTGGATCATTTAAAATGCGCAATATTATTCTCAGTTATGTATGCCCTTGTACCACTGAGGATGTTCTAAACATGCTGCAGCTTGAGCAGACCAAGTAGAAAGCAGAGCTCATAGAAAGAATGCTACCTTTTCGTGGTTTTCTGAAAAATAAAGTTTAATTTTAATTATACAGTCTAGAAAATGTTAATGTTGATAACACACTTGCCATCATTAGAAAACCATACCAACAATTTCAAAGGTAATTTAAAACTTACAAAATGGAAAAATATTGTTCTATATGCACATCAAGTTAATTTAATGGGGTTTAAGTATTTTTTTTAATTGATTACAATATGTAGCCAGTAATGCAGCCTGTATTAGAGAAGAAGTAAACATAGATGTGTCTAATAGAGTGAATTGGGTAAAGTACATAGAGGCAGAATATATAGTAGCTGCAAGTGGGACTTGAACCTGTAACTCCCTTCTGGACAAGGGGAATTATACTGTATATGCTCTGGAGGCATAGCTTTAGCAAGATGGCAAGACTGCAGTCCTGTTGAGCACATGACTTAGGAGCAGTCCAGTCTTACACAGGCTGTAAGGAGCACTGACAGCCACATTGTTCTCTACACACTTCTGTTAACGGGATAGTGACCTCTCCTCCCTGTGGAGTACTCCCATGGAGAGCTGCAGCTTTCCTTTGGACTGCCTTAGTCTGCTCTTTTTATTCCAAACGAAATAAGGCTGAAAACTAAATGCAGAGAGGGAGGAGAGGAGCAGGAGCGAGAGAGAGGATGCTAGTGTGACTGTACTGCAAGGTGACAGCTGGAAACCATCCACCGAAAGCGACGAAGGGGATGAAAGTTTAAAAAAGGTCACTGATGCAAGGCCGGGGCAGGAGTGTAAACCTACGAGGCCTCTAAATCAGGACAGCTGGCCTCTGGCTGTGTCTTCATGAGGCACAGCAGAAATGCAATAGCAGGCTACAGCTAAGAGTGTCTTTTATCATTATGATCTCAGTTTCCTTTAATCTTAATAACTCTTCATCAGGACACAATAATGCAGTAAATGGAATTTCTGACCAACAGCTTCAGCATGTGTATTCCATTGTCGTGTAAATTTGAGTTGCATCTCACGTTTAGAATTTATACCTACTGTATGTACATTTTTATTTACTTTTTTGTCTCCTTTCATTAATATAACCAGAACACATTCAGATACCTTTTCTAGAAGACCTGATTTTCTCTGGACAACACTCACTAACACAATAGCAAACACTATCTATCACAGAGATAAATAGATTTCATTATGGATGCAGCACAAGAAATATCTTTTTATATGAAACAGAATTCTATGATATGAACATGAAAAAAATGGAATTCATCCTTGTTTGAAATAGTGCAGCTCTGAAGTAGTAATTACATGGTTTGATTCTGGTGTCTCAATTTAATTTTGGTCTATTAGCATATACTCTCTTGTGGCGAGACACCAGTGTGGCATATTATCAAAAGACCATGAGTGCATCTGGCTTGTTGTAGTTAATTGATTACAGGACCCTGTGTTCTGTTCTAGTAACATCAAAGTCAATCCACCTCACATATGTAGATGATCTCATAACATCATCCATAAAGACTTTTCTATATTATGTTCTATATCTGCTTCCATTTTGCTTCCACAATTTGTCTGCCTTCCTGTTAGCTGTGGTTGAAGCAACAGCTGTATTTGACCCTTCTAGAGCACATAACAGGCTTCAGTGATTAGGCCAGACATTGGTCTTACATATTCTGTGTTAGTCTCCACTGCTATTTCTACCATACTGTCTGTCATTCTACACTATGTCATGATTCAATCCCATCAAAAGGATTCTCAAATCCATTTACTAAGAATTGACCATAAAAGAATCTAAAGACTATTACTACTTTTTTATACTGTTATACATTATTATATATTATATAGTATTTATTCACAATTTTTTTAAATTGTATTAATGAAAAGCTTGAATGAAAAGATAGGAAAACAGCTCAATTTTTTTAGACTCTCATACACATGGAAAACTATATAAACTTGTGTGTCATTGTAAACCCTGGCTAAGCAGAGGATGTTTATTTATTTAATCAAACCTTGAAGACTTCCAGATTATTTTATAACTGATTCATCCCAGCACCTATTTAAACAACCTGTAATCTCTTAGCTTTTAACCACATGCTTCAGTGAATCTCACACTATATTGCACTAATGTTTTTAGTTTTCCAAGGTTAATGTACCTGTTTAAAGTGCCTTGACAGTACAAATTTCTGTCTCACCAAACTGGAGCTTAACAAACTTATTAGGTAGTTCTGAATGCTAAATATTGTGTGTTTGGGTCTTCAGGGCATAAACAGCAGTAGTGTGCCTTAAGCACTCTGCCCCAGTCTTGCCAAACAAATCCAGCCTTCCTCCTCATGAAATGTACTGTGTGCCTGGTTTTGTTCATAGAAAAAGTAACTGTTGATAACAGCCATTAAACTGTTCTCTACCAAAGAGAGGCCAAAGAACCTGGGATCTTTCAGTAAAAAAATATTAGCGTCACATTTGTAGTTCTTTTGATACTTTGTGTAATATGAAATGATTTTTATGTTGCAAAAGCCAGCATTGCACTGGGTTGGAAATTTGTTAGCTGGTGCCTTAATGACCACAGCTCGGACTACTTTAGTTAACATTGGCTCCCAGTGTGGCGCACAATTCCCAAATGAAATATGCAGCTGTGATGAGGAGGAGGCGTACTGTAATCAGTAACTGGGCATTGTGGCTGCAAAAGAACTGCACTAACCCTGCTGTCTCCAATATCCAGTTTTTAATGTTATTCCCCTAAAATTGGCTGCTTCTGTGTCATTTCACTGCTTTTTTGGTCAGATTGACCATCAGAAAATCAAGAAGGATTCAAACTCGGCCTGCCATTCGTTTATTCAAGGGGTCAGTGATTGCAGCGCTGGAGGATATTTTTATAACTTGACTGCACTGATGATCATCAGTTGAAGCGGTACTTCCAACTGGATGTTTTGTATTAGTGAATAAAACATTCCTAGTTCAGACTGAGAAGTCAGGGCTTGCTCTTTCTTGATGGTCGATATCCAACCATGAATACCTGAACAGCATCTCACCTCTTGCCACTGAAGGGGTACACCTGTGTAATGCTACACAATTTTCACAGAGAAATATGTACATGAACACACTTCAGTTCTGGCACTGATGGCTTCACATCTCCTATATGTGAGAGAGGTATTGGAGAATGGAGTAAAACTGTAGGTGAATGATCTTTTGGGGTATATTTGTTTATTTTAATGTTGTGAAGCGTAACCACTGCGGAACCTGTGGGCCCACTTCAGATATCTTCTAGAAACTGCCATGGATCATGCGGCTTGCTGCCCAGGGTTTTCTTTTCTGCTTTATAGTCTACCTCAGTTTTTACACAGGATGCAGTACAGAAGCTACATGGGTGGCATGGGGAATTATTTCCTATGCCAGAGTGAATTTTTTCATTTGCCATGTCATCAGCTAGGAAGAACCAAGGTTTACTTGTTTCTTCACCCCCTCCGACGCACACGATCACCAAAATTTGATGAGGAGTCAAAATGGCTTAATACTTAGAATTAAATAATCCAGAATTAAAGCTTAGAATTAAAACTTGTGCTCTGATGGGATGGCGTCCCATCCAGGGGGTATCCTGCCTTGCTCCCAATGCTTGCTAGGATAAGTTTCAGCTCCTCCGTGCCCCTGAATTGGATAAACCACTTAGAACATCCATGGATGGATGAAAGATAGTGAATTTAAATAAATATAGTGAACAGCGAGAGAACATCTGGAAGTAACGCTTATAATTTTCATGATTTGGTCTTGTTTTAGGATTTCTCAGTTTCTGATGACTGTTCCATCTTTTTTTCTGTTGTTGATGGTGTAATCGGAGTGGAAAAGCTCATTATCTGAAATGTATTGTTATCTTGTCACGCCAGTTTGCATCACAACAGCAGTGACAACAATGAGCCACCTAAGTGCCAATACTCCTGCCACCTTCAACGTGAATGGAGAGAATCTGCTTGTCACCTGTCACCTTACCATGCTGTTCCATGTCCGATGTGAATGGCTCTTAATGACAGCGATGATCCTGGTATCTGATTTCATTAAAGAACTTGGTTCTTCATTAGGTATTCATTAATTAAGTAGATGTTAATGTACCCTGAAAGCTCCTCACACTGCAATCACGTCCTGTATTCATCAGTGATGTGTTGACTGCACTGACAGATTCAGTCACTTCCGAAGGAATTAATCAGATACAATGACCAGTCTGTATCTGCAGCTAAGCAATGCTTCGTCAGTGACAATTGTGATCATCTTGTAGGAGGCATGAAGTTGCAGGTACAGTAGCTACTGACTTCACAAGCCTGGATTTCTGAGGAAAGTTTTCTAGCTTTCAGTATCCTTTATGCTCAGTCCTTCTTTTCAGAACACTAATCTTACATATTTTTTAACTCTGCACAGTAGAAATATGACTTTCCTGAAGCTCTGCTTTGTAAACTCTGACACTTTCCATTCTTGTTTCATACAAACTGTATAATATAGAATGAATTTGGAACTAAACTATAAAACACTATTCACATGCTATAAGCAGAACATATACAGTAAATTGAATGTTAGTTGTACAGTAACAATGTAAAGTATTTCCATGAGTTTGGTGTCTGCTGTCCTCTGACCTGATCATTGGAGCCATTTTCTTGCAAAACATAAGGGAACGGTAACTGAATTTTGGCATGGTGAAACTGGCAGGGTATTTGTGAATCAGTGTATAGTGGGGTACAATAATTTGATACAGGATATGGATCAGCAGTTTCTTTGTCTAATCCAGTAAATCTAAACCAGGATCCATGTGATTTGAATTGTGCTCCTCTAACCACATTAGGGGCATTATTGGTAATATTCATGTCAAATAATTGTTTTTATCACAAAAGTTACATCATATTACGCCCTGTTCTATGCACTGGACAGCCTGAATAATTTCGGAGGAGTTTTCTTGGGTAAATATAATGTATACGTCTCAAATCTGCACAGAATTGACAAACTGACAGAACATAACATGAAGGACTTTTGTAAATGTCTCTACCCTTGTAATTTCCTGTCATATTTCTTTTAACATTGTCAAACCTCAGCTTACCCTTCAAAAACGTATTCATGCTTCCTCCATGGCTACACTGTGTTTTGTAAGGCTGCTATTTAACCAGAATCAATGTGTCTCTTTGTGTGGAGTTTGAGTGTTTGATTTTGCGAAGCTGCTATGCAGACAAGGCGACTAAGATCACGCTGAAACCAAGGATGGTTTGTAGCCATTTTTGGCAAAGGTCTGCTTCTTTCCAGGAGAGAGGTCTGCGTGTGTGATGAGTAGTGCAGTGCAGCTCTGAGCCAGGCAAGCTTTATGCTGTATTTAGCCAATGGTTCTGTGCCCTGGCTATGACCCTTTATATTATTTGTGCCATCAGGACACCCACAATGGCAGGAGGCCTCTTCTCCATCGACAGGGACTACTTCCAGGAGATTGGCACCTACGATGCAGGCATGGACATCTGGGGAGGGGAGAACCTGGAGATCTCCTTTAGGGTAAGACTTGTTCAGGAGCTTATTATTACTTCAGGCAGAGGGTGAATGCAGAGTGCATGAGACTCATGAGACTTTCTCTTCTTGCCTTCATCATCAAGAGAGTCAGCACTGTCAGTGAGTAAATGAACCCACATGTTTGGTGCGATCGCAGAATTTTGCCAGCAAAATGAGATTCCTCAGACATCTGAGAAGTTAGAAAATCTTCTGGAGTCTTGGTATAGTTGAAGGCATCTCCATGAAGTCTAAATGAGAATGGTTACACTTGTCTGTACTTGTATGCTCTCAGGTTTATGGTTAATGTTCCTAACTATATATCAAATTAATATTTCATTATATTGCTATTGATGTAGAATATCCATGGTCTTAATTTTCCTATTTTTAAATTACGGGAATTGGTGACAAAGTGCTTTATTAGTTTACTGGAACTGACAAACATCAAAGTCACACTTCATAATTCTTCAGAAAGGATGAGGTTTTGAACACCACATGTTCTCTGAAAGCATTGTGCAGGCATTTGTCCCCATCTGTACTGCACAGCTGTCTGCCACAGATTTCATATGAGTGTGCAGACGAGTGAGCTACTGATGGAGCTTTATCTGGGTGCTTGTGAAATGGCCTGCAAACACTGGAGCACTTAAACATCTGTGCCTGTCCTAGCACTCTCTTCAAAAAGGCGTCATTTTGGATATCTGACAGCCCTTTATCTTATTAGTGAATAGCCAATGCCAAGGACCTTTTTGTATTAATTTTGAGACAATGTAACAAGTTTACAAATGTTTAAGATATTGATTTTCATCCATTGTAATTCAGTTCTGCGTCTCCCAGCCTGTGTCTGACCCAGTGTATGTACTGTATGTTGCTGGTGACCTCTTGATGATGACTAGACCTGTCTACACGTATCCACTGGTGTGTGTGTGTGCGCTTGCATCTGTGCAGATCTGGCAGTGTGGGGGGACTCTGGAGATCGTGACCTGTTCCCACGTGGGCCACGTCTTCCGCAAGGCCACTCCCTACACCTTTCCTGGCGGCACGGGCCAGATCATCAACAAGAACAACCGGCGGCTGGCCGAGGTCTGGATGGATGAGTTCAAGAACTTCTTCTATATCATCTCGCCGGGTGAGGTCCCACTGCTCTCCTTCAGTGTGGCTTGCAGAGCCAGCGGAATGAGTGTATCGGTACAAGTGTAGCAAGAAACAGATCTGCTTTTTGGCAAAAGAAATGAAGACATTTCATTTGTGTATCTTATTTTTTAAATTGAGATCCATAGAGTTAGTCTGGAGGTTATCTTGCTTTGAAAAAAACTAGATCTGGGCCTCCGGAGTGTTTCAATCACTTAAGTGCAGGTCGAGCTTTTTGGTCGCAGATTGGAACCTGGGGCATGTCAAAGCCTCTGAGTAACTTGTTACCAGCTATTTACTCTTGTTGCCTTTTCATTTTGTCAATGCGCAGAATCTGCAGTCTTCTTTTGGATCTGATGGGCGTCTAAGCCCAGTGGAGCTGAATTAGTGGCCACCACATGAGATTCAAGAAAACATGTAACAGGTGGTACAATTCGTATAATTTAGCATCCGTATATTAAATTAATTTTCCATGAGCTTGGCAATCAGTGAGTCTCCAAAGCTGTTAGGGTCATTTAAATAATCCCACCTGGTTCATGCTGAGCTTTTTTTTTAATTTGAAACCAACAAAATAATCGTATCCAAAGTTAGTAGTCTACATTGTGTACAGACATGGCATTATTTCGTTGTAATGTCAGATTAAACAACCCCAAGGGGACTGGGTTTCATGTTCCATGTCAAGTGTTTCATAGCTGTGAAATCAATAGAATCCTAAACAAAATTTAGCGAGAAGCACTTTAGAAATGTAAGTTACAGAGTATAAAAGGGAAAGGCCCTTTTAAGGAACTGCATCTTCTACCTTAAAGGCTTTAAGAAGTACCACAAACACCGGATAGTTGTAATTGGGACACAAGTCACCTTTAGTTAATGAGGGAGCTGCTTTTGACATCTGACCTTTCCATCTATTATATAGAGGCCGAGCTCAGCGTCCCAACAGCCCGTCAGTCATGCTATAATTATGATATCTGATAGCTCCATTGAGTCCTTCAGAGAGTGGTATCTGTGTTTATCTGAAGTACTGTTTTGTTTTTTATTATAATTGTTAGTCACATGACAAGAATGGGATAATTAAGAATTCTGAAGGCCTCAGCTCCAGAAAGAAGCTGGCTTTGAGCTGTACACTTTGGATAATGGATATTAATATCTGTGCCAATAATACTTATTGTTATCAGGCGTTGACCTAGGCAGTGCCTCATCTAAGGAATGAATAATGCAGGAAGCCTGAAATAAACAGCAGTGTCAGATTCCATGCTCTGCGGCAGCCAGCCTCCTTCGTACCCCACTGCTGAGCAGACAGGACACACACTGGGAAGCTGACCTAGGTCACATACCTGCCAGGGATCCAGAACAGTCCATCACAGTTAAACGTAAGACATTATCTCGTGCATAGAGTGAGGGGGCTTCCAAAAGTGAACATATTACTCTGGAGTTTTTAGAATATTTTTGCTTGAGAAACCAATACTTAAAGTTTCTTACCACCTCATGATCACTCATTATTCCCTAGAAAGCATAGAAGCAAAGCACTGTACCGCTTTTTGTCCTCGTTCTGTATCATACAGTTCATCTTGTTACCTTAATTTCTTCTAATTCAGATTTACTGTAGAAAACCATGTCTTTAAGTCCTTTAATTAGTCTGCAGCTATGCATAGCATTTTACTTATTTTAAGTTTAATATTTAATACTTTTTCCCAGTTCTATATTTTATTTTAACTATTACATGTATAGCTATAATAATAATAATTGCTTACACTCATATAGCGCTTTTCTGGACACTCCACTCAAAGCGCTTTACAGGTAATGGGGACTCCCCTCCACCACCACCAATGTGCAGCATCCACCTGGATGATGTGATGGCAGCCATAGTGCGCCAGAACGCCGCTCACCACACATCAGCTATCAGTGGGGAGGAGAGCAGAGTAATGAAGCCAATTCATAGTACTGTGCATTATCACAGAAATGTCCTATTTCATTCAGACATATATGCAAAAATGAATAAATAATCTACTAGGCTATTAAAGGGAGACTTCAGATGATGCCTAATGTGTATTCTGTCTCTGCAGTCTGCAGGCTGATAATGAAATTAATTGATAGGCAGATAAGAAAAGTAGCAAACAGGGGGCCAATCGACCCATCTAATCCATTTGGATCTTAGTAGCTTAGTAGTAAAGTATTGGCTTCAATAACAAGGCTAGTTAGCTCATTCCATGCTGCCACAACCCTTTGCATATAGATGTTTTCATGTGCTTCTACTTGTCCACTTGTTCACGTTTCACTGTTGATTCTGAAGACGTCCATGGGGTTGTCAATGCCATTGAGGATTTGAGAATGCTTTGATCAGGACCCCTCTTACTCGTCTTTGCTCAAAACTTAAAAGACTCATTCCTTTCAGCCTGTCAGTGTAGTTCATTCCTCTAAGCCTGGCATGTATCAGGCTGATCTTCTCCGGACCAGCTCCACAGCAGCAATCCCCTTTTTTTAACATGGTCCTGTTTTTGGTCCCAAGCTCAGTGCAGAAGCGCTCGGCTCTGTTTTTAAAGTTTGATTGTTATAATTGCAGTAAAAAAAAAAAAGGTTAGAAGACAGACTTTTAAAAGTGTGTGACCCTAATTACTTATCTAAACAGACACTGTGGAAAATATGGTGGGGACCCCTGAGATCCCTCGTAGGATAAATGTCATCGATAAGTTAAAAAACTGATGTCAGAAAAACTGAAAAGCAGCTGTGGGAATAGTCTAGCAGTGCCTGAAACTCCATACCTTCGAAAAACAGACTGGTCTAAGAACTTGGATATGTTATTAAAGCAGACAGCTTTGATGAAAACAAATGTTCACACCAGAAGTTTGGAATCATTCAAGTTATTGTTTTGTTGGTTGGTGAACCAATACATGGTGCAACGATATAGAAAACACATCTTTTTGCTTGATTTCACAATTTACAATTTTGGCGTGTACTTTAGAAAACATGAAAAAAACGTTTGATCCGTTGCTGTCTATTTGTCTTCATCTGTTTCCACTCTCACAATGAAAACTTATAAATATTTTTGGAATGAAACCCAAAAGCTTTCAAGAAAGTACTGCAGGAGGTGATCCTGTGCTCCTGGGAGCAAACTGAATCAAAACAAATGGGGATTTGAGATGAGTGATACACACCATGTGGACATGAGGAGGAGCTAACATAGAACCTAGGCCAGCCAATAAATTATTTATTGAAATAGAGGCATAAATTCTTGGCTGAAACAAGTTCTTGGCTGAGGTCGATGTGCAAGGTTTGATTCCTTAATTGAACGTGCTTCAGTTACAAATCAGAAACAGAAACAGAAACAGGCGTTTGGCACGAAAAAATACCCTGTGGTCATTTTAAGGAAAAAACAGTTGTCATAATTTCAGGCCAGCTCTAGTTTTTTTTAAAACAAAATTTGTGAAATTTGAGAAAACACTTTGCCGAACTTTATCTCTCCGTGTAGTTCCTGTGGTGTAGCTGTGTGTTTGTGTAAGGCAGCTGCTGTGAGGTGTGTTTTGGCTGTGGCATTATTGTAAAGGCATTCTTATCTTTGATTGGGAGAAAAGGTCTGCGAAATGAATTGCCCTGTCTGGTAGAAGTTCATACAGGCAGATACGCCTGCCATTTGGGTTATAACAGTAGTGTGGAGTTATGACAGGACAGCAAAGCTGCTTGATTTGTAAACTGCCCTCAGGGCCTACACAGTCTGGTGCACTGCTCAGCCTGCTGCTGTATTGTAGCGGATAACAAAACCAACCAAGAACACATTCCCAAACTGTGTGGCTTAATCCAAAAGTGTCAGTAAAAAGTTCACTTTTTCCTGAGGTGTGTATAGCAACAACAATGGCATGAGAGGGTGAAGGCCGTTGTACAGTCTGTATACTCTCTGGGCAGTAATCAAGATGATTTTCTTTGCGGTTGCAAATACAAATCGGAGCTCCTTGAACCATCCGCTGTCGGGTGGAGCAGGTTGCTGACCAACGAGCACCGTGCTGTGGTCTTCCCTGACTGGGCAGGATCACTGCAGCTAGGAGTTGCTTCATCTGTAATGTAACGAATCTGATTTTCTCTGTAATATCTCTACAAGCCTTTCTGAGCATAGATTGTGAGCTTCTTGTTTAAAAATAAACCAACTATTTTGTTAAGAGGCTTCTTTAATCAAATGTCTTTAATGTACAGATACAGGATTTTCACATTCTTATTCCATATAATACAGTAGGTACAAGAGGACACTGTTTCTCAGTGACAGATGTAAGAAACCCATTAGCTGTGTGACAGTATGTTACTGCAGTGACCTTAAGGAGAGGAGTAGCAGCCCTGGCGACGGCACAAAGCCTGCCCAGTGGAGTGATAGTAATTTCATGGTACAGAGCCTCTATTAACCTTGCCAATGTGGAAGAGTTACCTCTGCGTGCCACTGCCTTCAGGTGTTCAAATAATGAAGGAATCTTGGGATGCCTCTGAGGCGAGCACTTCAGCTGTAGTCACCTTTGTGATATTCCAGACGTGTCGTGTCATGGTTGGGGAGATGACACTAGCACGAAAATTAAACAATAGATGTGTAGCATGCTTCCCAACCACTTGTTGTCTTTCCTGCCTGCCCTGTCCATTTTCCACTGCATTCATTTTCAGGCAGGATTTAATTTAACAAGGCTGTACTGTATTACTTGTTTGTTGTTTGCTTCAATCAACTTGTGGTCAAGGTTTGCAGTGAGGTGAAAGAAAAACCTTACAGTCATCTGTTCTTTATGTACATTTTTTTAAGGTAACCAAAATTCCTCAGGCTCAAATAAATGAGAACAAAAATAAATGTATATCCTGTTTATCTTCAGTAACACAGATTAGATGTGTTAGGTTAGAATTAAGTCACATATTGTAGAAACTGAGCCGGAAGAAATATTACTGTATTACTCTATTACCACATCAGTGAGGCATCGGGCAGCTTTAAGAGGAAATATAGCTCCTTCGGGATTTTTCAAAGTGTTGTTGGTAGGCCAG